CCGCAAGAGTGTCCTGTAAGAGTGACCCACAAGAGTGTCCTACAAGAGTGTCCCACAAGAGTGTCCCGTAAAAGTGTCCCACAAGAGTTCCCTACACGAGTGGCCCACAAGAGTGTCTAAGAGTGTCCCACAAGAGTGTCCTACAAGAGTGTCCCACAAGAGTGCCCCACAAGAGTGTCCTATAAGAGCGTCGTCCTACGAGAGTGTCATTTGGACATATGTAGTTTTTCGAACGCGTTTGCGTCCGGGTTCGTGGGCTCCATCTTGTTACGAAAGCCAGCCGATAGGCTAGGCTTGAGCTTTTAGAGCGAAGTGAGTTAAGGGGGGGAGGTCGCGAAAAGGCGCAATTTGAGAGGGCGAGCCCGGAGCTTGGCGGGGGAGAGCGCTCCAAAGCGAGGGTCAGAAAAGCAGTGAAAATGGGGTCTGGTGACGCGAGTGATGCAATGGACGCCGAGTAGTGCATCATTAGCATCATGAAGGGCTTCGGAGGCTATTTGGACAATGGGCATTGAGCAATCGAGTGGAGACATTAACCAACATACAGCGCACACCGCCGCCGCATGTAGGCATGTAGGATTTGAGTTCCCAGGACAACCCGTAACTCGCGAAGTCCATAAAGAACCGAAAGTGACATGAGTTCAACTCCATGAATTTGGATTGAGTTTCGGTGGGGATGCCTGCGAGGTTGACTACATATCCGCATAAGGTTCCTGCCCCTAGCAAACACTATGCTTGCACCATGTCCTCAGTCGATTGGATGCTTCTCGCGGCGTCCACACGCGCCGAACGTTTTTTCCGGCTTGCCGGTATAGATAGACAGACAGATAGATACGTACATAGATAGATAGATAGAGAGATAGAGATAGAGAGATAGATAGAGAGAGAGGCAGCCCTGGCCGAATCCAGTCAGCCTGGGTCCACGGCCCAAAGATCTACACGCACAGGTACCAAAGTCAAGGCCTTTGAGTGAGAAAAGCGCAGAGTTGATAAGGAAGAGAAGAGTAAAGAAGGTGTTTGGATCGTTTAATAAAGGCCCCTTTAAAGGAAAAGATTGTGTTTTGGAGCGGGCCAGGACATGACTCACTCAAGTCCAGGCATGTGCATCGATAGGCGCACAAATCCTCACTCCTTTGCTAGCCCAAGCTACTCCCGCGCGACCTCCCCTTCTGCGCCGCAGGATCAAACGTCCGTGTCCCAAATCAACGAATGCCGCTTTTTTCGACGCGCCGGAGTAGGCATTGCAAACTTCAAACATTCCAAATGTAACAAACTACTTGCTTCTTTTCAACCCCACACCATACTGGCGCGCGCGCGGCGACGCTGACTATGGAGAAGGTCTTCCTAGATGGTATTTCCCCTTCGCTAACGCTGATGTCGCCTTCCAACTTCTATAAGACGCACACCTTCCTGCGTGTGACAAACACATGCCATTGCCTTGTGATGATGACCTACACCAACATACAACGTATTGCACTTCTCTTTCGCTACTACTTCTTTCATACCAAACTTATCCCAAAGCCGCCTGGCTTGCTTCTCTGCTCCCTCCATCACCATTACATACGCCCCCCCGCATCCGCAGCACCGCTGACTCGCAAGCTGCCGACCATGTGTCTTGTGCCGAAACACCCGCCAGAAAAAGATACACTCGTCTGGCAGCTGCTGGCTTTCGTCCCCCCCTTCTCTCTCAAGTTTTGCCTTTTGCTTGTGAGTTGTGTTTTTTTGCCGTCCGTTCGACAGACTTTTGACGGTTTTTGACGACTTCTTATCGGTATTTGAGTTTTTTTTACGGGCTTTTGCCTTCTGCTTGTGAGTTGTGCTCCTCTTTAGCCTTCCATTCGACGGATTTTTGCCGTTTTAATTTGTTTTTTAACGGATCTTGCGCACCCAGTAGCCCGCTGTTTTGTCCTTTTTTTGTTTTTGCCAGGGTTGGCAGGCTGACGTTTGTGTTGAGGGAATCCTCAAACAGCTCGCAAGCAGAAGGCAAAAACCCGTCAAACAAAACATCAAAACCCGTTTAAAAACTGTTACAAATCCGTCGAGGGGGAGGCCAAAGAGGAGCCAATGGATGCAGCTAGACAGTGGCAAGATAGATAGAAACATAGACATTAAACTCTTGGACAGAGCGATCAGGAGAGAAGGAGAGAGAGGGAGAGAAAGAGAGAGAGAGAGAGGGAGAGAGAGAGAGAGAGCTTGTTCCTGTGGTGGTTTTCATGTTCGCCTGTCCTTGTCCGGCTTGTGACTAGCATTTTTTGTCGAGTCCTTGCGTTATTTTGTTGTCGAGCGTGTGGTTTTTTCTTGTGGAGTTACTTTTCCGCCAACCTTGTCGAGTTTAAAACACGGCTGCGTCGAACTGCCTTCCACCTTCTTGGGTGGGTTGGGTGGGCAAGAATTTTAAATTGGAGGATCCACCTCCAGTTGAGATTCTTTAGAGAGGCCGTGTTTTAAACTCGAGGAGGTGGATCCTCCAATTTAAAATTCTTGCCCACCCAACCCACGCAAGAAGGTGGAAGGGAGTTCGACCCTTTGAAGCCATACCTTGAAAATCGGACACGGAGTCTCTTATCCCTGCTTTCAGGGTTGAAAGTTCACTTCCGTGGCCATGGGAATCGCGCGGTCTGGTGGCAGCACTCGGATGTGTGAGACAGGTACTCAACCTTTCCGTTTACTCATGTTTTCAACTTCGCAACTGATTCCGAACCCTTCCGTCTACTCGTATTTTCAATTGCGATAATTGCGCACGAAGTAGTTCGTAAATGTATTGCTCGCCACAATTTCAGGAGTTTTTGGCTGGTGGAGGTCGGGTGCGAGGCATCGCCGTGCTCTAAGTTCAGTCTCGTCAAGTGGTGCTCACGTGCTGCAAGCCCCTCTGAGGCTGTCATCAACCCTGGCAATCCGACTGGCACCATCCTCACACGAGATGTCGTGGAAGCAGTGGTGAGGCAGGGGGCCCTTCAATAGCGTGCAGCGTTCAGAACCATTTGATGCTATTCCTGTACCTGTACTTTGCGCAAAGAAACTCAGCAGGCTTTGTGCGAAGTACAAGGCCTGGTTGCATTGTTTCCGTTGCGCTACAATTACAATTCTGCATGTGAAGTGGACATTTGGACCTTGCCAAGATTGTCATCCTGGCTGATGAAGTCTATCAGGACCTTGAATCTGTAAATTTGTCCCGATGTGGACACCAATGTTTTGCCACACCGTTTGTAGGACAACATTTTTCGACAAGACAGAGAATTTGTGTCCTTCAGGCCAAATTCGACCAATATCAATGCATGTTGCACTGTTTATATCAATATGTATACATATTACGTTGGTTTTTCAGCGGTTTGTTTCACAGACGGGTGGTCCACGAGTTGGATTTGCCAGTGGAACTATTTTCGTCGAGCTGGCGACAATTAACCCCTGCAAGCACCGCAGAATGTTTCAGACTGTCCATCCATACTTTCCAGGTTTTAGTGCTTTGGAATTGCATGGATGGAGTTTTTGAGTTTCACGTCCATTTCTTTGGCCAGTTTCCATTCGATGTCAAAGGGGTACTATGGAGAATGTGGATTGCGAGGCGCTCCCTGAGTTTGCTCTTTGTGTTCCAGAAGCTTGTGCCAATGCTTTAGAGACACATGTGCAGCATGTTCACAATTCTATTGAATAACTGTGTACCTTTCCATTGCACATCGATATGTTTGGGTGGGTCTTGTGTTCTTCAAGGGTCAAGCAGCCACTGGGTTTTTGTTATGGTGTCCCAGACATTGTGGCGCTGTCCCGAACCTGGTTATATGGTCGTGTCCGGGTGCCCTCTTTGTCGGTCTCCCAATCTCGTTTGAGACATTTGAGCCATTCCGTCCGCGTGTGTTGCGATGGTCCCAAAACCATTGCTGCAGGGTCCTTCAGAAGTCCCCGACAGTCGTCTGCTCATGCTTAGCATGTGGCACAGGAGGAGTCATGCAGCTCACGAACATCGATCCAGAAGTTGCTGATCAGATCTACAAGCTCTTCTCCATGATCTTGTGTGCCAACACCTTGGGCCAGGCAACCAAACACCAAACGTCAGGAAAGAAGCTACCTCAACGCGCTTTGAAGCTCGCTTTTGCAATGTTCCTTGTATGTCAAGCATGATGATATGATGCAATCACGTGCAAGTCCGGCCATATCGACGAATCAAAATATCATGCATCATTCTGATGGCCAATCGCTGCGTTTGGAAGGCTCTGATGGCTTCCATCTTGAACCCTCCACAGCCCGGAGATGCATCCTTTCAGCTCTTTGAGCAGGAGAAACGTTTCTGCGCTCAAACCGATGCTATTCAACTCAACCGTGTGACCCTCCCTTTTTGGACATGTTTGGACTGGCATGCTTTTTTGACAGGCAAGAAACTGCATCAAGTCCCATCTCCGAAAACTTACCCAACTGTGGTTGTCACATCAAGGAGCGGAGCCAAATCTTGGCCAACCTCAGCAGAAAGGCGCAGCCGGGAAGATGAAGAACGTTTCTTGTATGTTCCTGTACTTTCTAGCTGCTAGCTGATTCTAGCTAAAAGCTTGACTCCAAAGCCAAGTAAGAAGTTCGTTGCAGGCAGATTTGGTGACCCGAGCACTCAACCATATGCCTGGTGTGCAGTCACTGCGAGTGGAAGGCGCAATGTATGCATTCCCCCAGGCCATGTCGCAGTTGTAGTGAATGCAGATAGCTCAAGATTGCGGCTGTACGTTGCATCCCATGTACCTTGGAGGTTTATCTACCTCAGAAGTTTGTTCAGGAAGCTGAAAGTCTTGGTAAGGCCGGCAAAGACGGTTTGGTGCAAATAGCTGGTGCATTTGTCCTGCACCGAGCGAGCCGGAACGGATAGGCAGTGTGTGGATCTAGAACTAGAGTGAACTTTGAAGAGCCAAACCCAAGAAAGTGCGCCTCTCGTTTCTTATTGCAGTGCTTGCTCTTTGGTTGCTACACCTGCCTCTAGTCACCATCTTGCCTTTCTTTGGGCCAGCAGTGCACACGGCTTCATAGCTTCTTGTATATTAATCCTGTCCACCTAATTAAAAACACGCCCCCCCCCCTAATTAGGAAATCTCGGTCGCATTTTTTAAAATAAGGGGTCCCTGAAATCGGGGGTCCAAAATAGGGTCACCTGGGAAGAGCTTCAAAAACAAAAAGTCACCCAGAAAATGTTTATATACAATCCTTTATTAAACTCGTGCCAAAAATTCAAAAAACCTCCAGATCGAAGGGTCTTCCTTTTCCCCTACAAAAACATTTATTAGAATAGTGACTAGTGATTCTTCATTAGACTAACAACTAAAGCTTTCGAGAGGTGATGTCGCTGTGCCATGCGGTTTTGCGTGACCTCGGTGGCAAGTGCGTTTGTGTGAGTCCGTGCCATTGGGGGAAGGAAAACCTGCTGGTGTAAAACGCGGCGTGTCATGGTGGATAGACAGGGCGGACAGAGGTGGGCAGTTTCGGTTGTTTTTGAAAGAAATTCCTCCCAAATCGGCAATGTTGGTAGTTTAGTACTTGAAAGGGCGGTAACTTAAAAACAAATATAAGCCGCATTTAGGGGCTTCGACATGACTTTTTAACTAGGGGTCCGTTTTTAAATAGGTACTCGGGACTCTGCTTGTAAAGTCCAGTCGAACGGCCCAGTGTTGAAGCCTGTTGTGTGAATTGGAGGCTGCCGACATGCTTTACTGCATCAAGATGCTTGAGGTAAGGCGAAAGAAACATCCTGAAACATCGTTTCGTCCTGTCAAAGTCCTGGTTATGGAAAGCATCACACTATTCAAATCCACCGGATAGCAGGGCGACCGTCCGAACGGCTCGCATGCACTGTTCCTTCCAAACTGCAGTGCTTTGTGATTCACAGAGACTCAATGAACAAGGCCACAGGAGTTATAGTTGTTCCTGGAAGCGGCTTTGCCCAGAGGCTCATTGCAAGCATTGAAACCAGAATGAGAAGGTGGCTGTCGATATTCTAAGGAATGGAACCTGGCACTACCGGATTACGATTTTGCCCGAGGAAGACAAGCTGAAACGAGTGTTAGCCACAAGCTCAGCGAACTTGTGAAGTCCTGAAAGGACCATTCAAGGCTTTCTTGCTGCGCGACTGGAGGCTCGTATGGCGACCTTTCATCTCAACTTTTTGGAAAGGTGCGCTGTTGGGTAGACTGCCGCACTGGCAGACATTAGTGGTTTGTTGGTTTTGTCCTGTCAGGTACCTAAGCCCTTCGGAGCGTGCCATTGAGGACAAGACCCCAACGCCTTGTGTGCTGACTGCACCAATTATAAGAGTTGAAGAAAGAGAAGAAAGGGTCACTGCACCAAAATTAGCTCTGTAAGGCCTGCCAAAGTACTCTGCATCAATCCAGACTGAGATCGTCGAGGCCAGACATTTCATATATCAGTAGATGACATGACACCATCCAAAGCCTTGAATTATGGCAAGGCACACCTGAAAGGAAAGCCCGCCCAGGACAAGCTTGCAATGTTTCAGAACAACTTCAGACTCAGACCTTCTTTACGGCTTGTTGTGTGGCTGGAGCAGACAGTTGCATTCGAGTTCAATTTCTGAAGGAAAAACCTTGGATGCTTCTCATGCTTGGTGGGGCAGGTGCTGGCAAGAGCTCCTTATTGAATGCTTGTATCCCAGACTTTGGTTTGTTTGACATTGGCATACTTAGTTTTTTCGTCGTTTCTGTTGCTTGTCTCTTCATTTTTCTCTTTCCTTGTTGCTGTCTTCGTGTAAGGTTTCTCTTTCTAAAGCTTTCTGTCTTGAGGTCTTGACGAAGCATGGCATGGACGTAGGCAGTTTTGTGCGGCACGGATTGGACGAGTGCCCCACAAGATGGCGTGGTCTTTGAGATGCTCATTCCAAGATCTAGCATCCAGGTACATAGAGTATCTTCCGGAATACAAGGCAGGCTGGAAACAATCCGCTCTTGGAAGACAGACTAAGCAGTTGAGGCATCTGTGCAGAAGAAGCTAGTCGTGTACAAGGATTCCGCCCAAGTAGAAACCTGCACGGCTCTATTCTTTGTCGATTATTTCTTGTGAAGTGACTGTGAGGATGCAGCAGATGGCTGCTATGCCGGTGCCATTCCGATTGCTAAGGCACATCAGTTTAGAATGTTCATTCGGTCTAAGATGCACCCTGCAAACTTTGTGTTCATTTTTCAGAACGAAGGCTGCTCAACTGGAGATCATCAGGCGGAAACAGCATTTGGTCTACGAGGAACTTCGGGGAGCATGTGGGAAAGCTATGGCTACGGAAGGCGGCAGGTCTCATAGGTTTCTTGCATTTGCAGCTGTGTGTGTGTGTGTGGGCGGGTGGGTGCAGGAAACTGGCAAAGACTTGAACCGCATCACTAAAAGAGTCCTGCCAGTTTTCGAGGAGGCGAGCTTGTCTGCAGTTGCTTGCAGCATCTTGGAGCCATGTGTGTTTGACTTCCAGTGAGGCTGGCTACAGCATTGCCATTGCTTTGGTTGACAATGACCCAGAAATGGCAAAGCAACGCTCCTTGAGCCGCTTCATGAAGGGAGGCAGGTATGCACCTGATAGCTACATTGAGGCTCGGGTGCATGTCATTCAAGATCATTACATGCCACCGTGTTGTCAATGTTGACTGCTTTTGAATGCGCTTCAACAACAGTCCACCTTCAAGAACGTGCCCGAGAATTATGCCAAGCTGAAAGAAATGACACAGGCATTGGATATCGGAGAAGGTCTTGTGACGAGCTGAGCCACTCCCATTATATAAATCCTTTGCAACTTGGGTGAGGTCAAAGAAGCTTACTATTGCAATAACAATTGCATTCAATCTGATGGAGAATGCTTGAGATGCTGGGTTGACAAGGGCGAGAGGCCTGGCCTTTTTGACTCAGCGCTTTTTGGATGAGTCTACCAGTCTAGGGGCTTTGTTGCTAGGACCTTGCTTCCCTCCGCGGCCATGTCGCAAACGCCTTGGTTGTGACTGAAATTATGTCGCAGTCCGATTAAGTCCACTTTAGCAGCTTGAACCGCTTTGAGATAATCTTTCTGAGCTCTAAACCTTCGAGACAGCTTGTCAGAGCCAGCTTGCACCAGGTCTGGTCCTGTGCAGAGACTGCATGCCGCATCGAGATAAAAGATGTGTTTTGCCATCTGTTGCCGTGTGTGCATTTCTCCCCAGCTTGCTTTGCCATTATATAATTTTTTTGTGCACCCCACTTGCGCAGGTGTCGAGGTGGACGAGGCCGACCGCTTAGGAAAGGTCTCGGGCCGTGGTAGCTTTGTTTGAAACATATCGCGCCCCGGTAACTGCCTTTGCGAGTAGCTTTAAATGCAACACCATTGCGGACAGCAGGCATTTCATTGCCAGATCCCGCAAGCCTTGACTCCAAGGGCCGTGCGAAGCATGTGCTCAATTACTTGTCTCTTGATGTCTCATTACATTGCTTCCCGGTGCCAAGCACGGATGAAGAAGGGCAATGCATTTGCTTAAAAGGATGTCAATGAATGGTTGTTACTTTCTTGCAGACAGCTTGCGCCAGTGTGGCAGTTGGTTTTCCATGTGTTTCCACTTCAGTGCCAAGTATTCTTGCTTGAAGCAATTTGGGTCCTGCTTGAAACAGTTACATATATACCAGAAATTGCTCCGGGAATCGGGGCACATTGCCAGGCTCGCTCAAGAGATGGATTGCAAACGCTGATAAATGCTTCCAATTGACTTGCAAATGAATACAGCTGGTAGAGTGACCTACGGACCTACGGTGGAATACGAGCGTCTCGGAGGTCGCAGCGTCTCCGAGCGTCTCCGACTTGTTCAGCCAATGTCCAATATGGAGATCCGGATCGATGCCGTCGAAGGGCTCGCAGCCTGAGATGGGGCATGGGACGGAGAGTGTCACCTGAATCTAGGTGTGTATTACATAGTCTTAGTTGTATATATACATATGCCAGTGTACTGTACTGTATGACGCAGTGCAAAGGGATCAGCGAACATCTATGTAGAATATATGCCGGGCTGCTGTTCGAACTTTGAGTTCTTTTCCGAAAGTAGTCGAATCCTTAAGGGCACAGACTGTTTGCTGCTGGCTTTCCCCTTTGAGTGCATTTGGCATCATGTGGTTTGCGTCCGTAAGCTCTCGCTTTGACTCCAACTCTGTATTTTAGGGCAAATTGTTTGGTATAGATTTCAGGAGTTAAAGGTTGCATAGTACATAGATGTACATACTCTAGACATCTTTAAAGCATTCAACCAGCCAGTATTGATACATTATGGGCGCCAGCTGCGGGAAATTGAGAGTTCTTGTAATGCAGTGCCTTTAACAGTCTCATCATGCAAGGGTCATTCTTCGTTGTTGCATGCTCCTGTCTCAAGAGCAAGCCTGGTATAGTAGCTCTGCGGGCCCTGCGGTACGTTCATGTGTCGCTTTGAGGCAAGCGACTCCAAAAGACACCTTTGTCTCTATGCGCATCGGCGACTACCAAAAGCAATCCCGTGGGGGTCTGAGAGGAAGCTGAGTGGGCAGCGTCAACTAGACGCAACCAACGGAAAAGACCTGTTTTCCTTTTTGCCCGTGGCCGTGCCTCCCTACTTAATTAAGTAGGTGCCTACTCAATTAAGTAAGGTCGACTAGTTCGCTCCTGGCGAGGACGCAGGATAGCTCACGCTTCTTCAAGGAAGCCTCCCCCGCCTGAGGGCGGAGGGGAGCTTCCTTGAAGAAGTGCTTGGATTTTGAGATATTTTTAAGGGAAATTTAACTTCAAAGCACGCAGCATGGAAGACTTGACTTTGCTTAGGTTTTGGGTCTGCCAAAACCTATCGCTTTCCTCAGATTGAGGATCAGCATCGCTTTGCACGGATCGAGGTGTTTGTCCAAAAAAAACGAAACAATACTAATTGTTATAGTGTAATCCTTTCTTGTGAAAGACACCTGTTGACAAAGACCATCTGAAGGTCTTTCATCGTATTGGCCATTTGACTGTGAATCTGGACAACATTGCCAATCAAGCCGTAGAGGCCGGTTTTGACTGTGTACAGTATGCTGTGGTTTCTGCCCAGCATACGTCGGACAGGTGCCGGTGGAGCATCCTGAGGTCAAATTGTTGCCTATGAAGCCTTTTGCTTAGCTGTGAAGCAAGGACGCTTCTAGCAGCAGAGGGCATCGCTACTGGGAGCAAGGACGCTACTAGGGGCTTCTGGCATCGCTACTAGGAACAAGGTTCGCTACTAGGAGTTTTTAGAGTTTGATACTTTGCTAACTAGGGACCTAGCGTTCCATGAAGCACGAGGTTGGCCGTGGTCAGTGACACTGTCGTGCATGGCCTAGAATATGGATACGACAGTCAGCAGTAGATGTTGGTCGTTTCTAGGAAGCCAAGACCGAGCAGAAAGAGAAACAGCAGAAGGCCGAGCCCTTGCCACTGTGCAATGTTTTTTGAAACCTGATTGCTCCATTCCATGTAAGAACTTGGAGCAACAGCAGAACTGCACCACTCACTGCCCAGCTTGAAAGCATATAGAGACATGCTCGGGCATTTGCAGGTGAAGAACAAAGTTGATGCAGCTCAGAAGTGAGCACGAAGACCATTTGGAGCTTCAACCCAATCGGGTGTGATTCTCTTGAGGTACCTAGCTGAGCATCACGTCGAAGAAGTCATAGCTGACGCCATTAGAGAGGCCGGGAAAAGAGGAGCAGAGAACAAGACTTAAATGACAAATCTGGCTGTCATGCCTTACTACTAGGAGCAAGGTTCGCTACTAGGGGCAAAGGGCATCGCTACTAGGGGCTCCTGGCCTTACTACTAGGAGCAAGGTTGCCAAGATGACTGTTGCCTGGCAGGTCATCCACGAGATGCCAAGCGATCCACACAGTTTTCTTGCTGCTCTGATTTTGAAACAAGTGGATGCCTCATCACGTGCACGGATCTTTTTTCCCAATGACTCTCAAAGCATTTATATACACATACAGTCACATACAAGCTTGGCTTTGATCTAAGGCAGCAAACAAGCAAGAGGAGCTTCTGGTGCAGTGTGCTGAGCTGCTGGGTTACTCTCTGACTCCCTTGGATTTCGATCCTTGAGAATAGCCATGCTGAGGTCAAACGATGGCAAAGTCATTGTGAGTGATTTTGCTGCAACCTTACTGCCTTGCAGCAGACAGTGTGAACATTCTTGGGGACAGATTCGATCGTGGCGTTCCGCCAAGGTGGATCAATCAGCCCCAAAGCTTGTAAAGCCACCAACAGTCAAGGTCTCGTGCTCAGCTTGGAGCGCTTCCAACTCAGTTTCTTTTCGAGTGCAATTTATTTTAAGTTGTTTTAGGATGTTTGTCACGAAAGCTAGCGAAGCTAGCTGGAGTTACTCTTGCGATAGCAAGGTTTCTTTCGACCGGGTGCAAATCCTAACCCCTGATTTTTCAGGTCGAAGACTCCCCCCCCCCCCCCCCCCCCCCTGAAATGTAGAGGCCTACTTGTACAGGTTCCACTCCAGTGGCCTATCTAGTGTGTCCATGCTTGACTGCCATAAGGCTCAAGGGATATAGGATAAGACTCTGCGTGAGCAAAAGACACTAGCGGTCTGCACCTCTACCGTGTACGCCCTAGTCACTCTTTCAGTGGTAGCGGAGCAGTGATCCTGGAAGACCCAGGTGAGCTCCTTTCCTAGGCATAGAATTGCTTGTGGGCAAACGGCCATGGATTGGATTGACGACTGGGAAGAGCCTGATGCGGATGTGGCTTATGAGCCAGCAGCCTACGTGAATAGGCATGTGAGAAGAGAACCAGCAGCGATAGCTATGACAACACAGGTCACTACAAAGGTGCCCCCATCTTATGATGGAAAGACTTCATGGTTTTCCTATGAGGATGCCATAGACGATTGGTGTGATATCACCGAGCTGGAGGATGAGAAGAGAGGACCAGCATTGAGAAGCCGACTAGAAGGAGAAGCAGCTGTATACAAGCGAGTTTCAGACAGAGATGCATTGAAGGCTAATGAGCCACCAGGAGCTGGAGTAGATTACTTCAAGAGAGTACTACGACCATATTTTGTGAAAGGATCCACCAATGTATTCCTGTATAGGTTCATGCAATTCGTGCGCTTCAATCGAGGATCAGCTGACATGATGAAATGGATGACAAGATTCCAGATTTTACTCCAAAGGCTTATGAGCAGTTGGATGGACATGTTAGAGCCAGTCACACAAGCACATCCTCAGGTCCTAGCTCAGATGCAGGCTGATGCAGCGTTGACTGGAGTAGCTCCAACGGCAGAAAGGATTCAGGAAATCATGCAGACCATCAATGGCAATATGAGAACTTTTCATCAGAATGATTTTCCTTTGGGAGAAAATCTGATTGCCTTACTCATGCTGTCACTTGCAGATTTGTCTCAGGACCAGCGAAACACTTTGATTTCTTTGATGACTCATCATGGTAGAGTCCTGCAGCAATACACCACAACAGAGTTGAGGACAGTTTTCATTGAGATGTTCTGCACAACAAAGACTTCAGTAGACAATCCTCTTATGCAGCCAACAGGTGCTGGAGGTAGAAGATCATTTCTCGTACTAGACGAAGGAGAACTCGATGGTACATGATGAAGAAGATGGAACAGAAGGATTCCTTGATGCCCTGGACGATGTCTTTTGGGTATATGATGAACAGAATTTCTCTTGGTTCCAGAGGAGATTCCAAGGAAGAAGAGCCAGAAAAGGCAAAGGAAAAAAAAGGAAAAGGAAAAGGAAGATCAGGCCGCAGATTTTTCAGACCTCGAGGAAAAGGAAAAGGAAAGAGACGAGGTAAAGGCCACTATGCTGATGAGCAATCGACAACTTATCCAGAAGAGTATTATGAAGAGAATCCTTATGAGGACACTTGGGAGTCAAATCAAGTAGCATATGATGCTATCATTGCCGAAGATATGAATGACTATCTTCAAGGAGAACATGAAGATGCCAATGACTTTTGGCAACAACTTGAAGAAGCGTGGTTTTCCCACAAAGGAAAGGGAAAAGGCAAGAGAAAAGGCAAGAAAGGAAAAGGAAAAGATAAAGGAGATGGCAAACAAGATGCAAACTATGCAAATCAACAACAGCCACGTTCTTTACCTGCACCTTCAAGAACTTCACAAGCATCAGGAAGCAACCAAGGTTTCTTTGCGCATTGTGTGACAACGGTAGCTGAAGTCCATGACAGTGAGGTGGACTTGCTGTCAGGCATGATGACCTCATGTCAAGATGAAGCTGACTGTAATGTCAACAATGGTGAGACGATCTTCGATGACATGGGTGCCCCTGTGTGGTACTCTTTGTCAGAGGAGATGCTCACAGATGCTCCTGATGGCTTTGCGCTTATGAGCGCTGAGGAAGAAGTGAAAGAGATGCAGGCTATTTCATTTTTGACTGAAAATCGCTTCCCGCCAACTATTGCAATCCTGGACATTGGATGCACTAGAGCTATGGGATCAAGGCGTGCAGTCGATTATTTTTGTAACTATGTCGACAATCATCCAGACTGTGGACTATGGTACTCTTTTGAGTCTACCAAGAGCAAGTTTTATTTTGCCAATTCTCAGAAGGCTTCTTGCTCTCAGAAACTGGTGATTTACACGTATGATCGTGCATGGACGATCCACCATACAGAGTTCGACATAGTTCAAGAAGGAGAAGTCCCTTTGCTTATGAGCTTGCCACAGATGAGGAACTTAGGCTTTGAACTCAGGCTGACACCTCAACATGCTTACCTGACATCGGTGCCTCTTGGTATCAAATTTTTGGAGTTGAAGGTTGCAGCCAGTACTCATCTTGTTTTGGACTTCCAAGATATTGCATGGTATCTGTCTGACGTGCGTTTGCAGGCTCGGCGCGAGAAGAGCTTTTACTCTCACTTCACTCACTATGAATATGGCCATATTTCTGTTGATCACAATAGTGATGAAGATGAAGCTGAGCATGCATATCCTGTGGTTGACTACTGGGAAGTAGATCTTCACAAGAGAGAACTGACACGTCACCACAAGGATTACAGGAAGATTCTTTTCCCAGCAACTAAGTCATGTCCTGTAGACACTGACTTGCTGGAAGACTTGCGATTGACAATCATCAAGAAGAAAGAAGGTGGAGAAGAGATCAAGAAGACAGATGATTGGCGCAAGGCAAAATGGAAGGACCTACAAATTGGCTATGAATGGCGTGGTAGAACAATTTTTAAGTTCAAGCCAGATGCCAAAATTCCAGATCTAAAGATCAGGAAGGCTGGCATTGAGCACCGTGGCATTGGTGATCCCGATGCAGTGGTGCGCTCCTCCTCAGAGAAGGTTCCCATTGCAAAGGACAGGGAACCAGGCTTCTC